ACGGTCTATGGAGGGCAGAAAGTGCCGCTGTCTGTGCGGTTAATACATGGACCTGGGGTTAACATGAAGTTGCTACACTAGCTAGCGATAGTCAGTACACTAAAATAGTTTATCACTGTCTGATAAAATAAGTTCTGAGGCTAAATGAACATTAGTGACGGGGATACGTCTTACCTGTATGAGCAAATGACAAGAAGAAATGTCTCAAACTTCAGCAGCTGTACATCCACTTTTGAAAACGTTCTTGGAAGTCGTGGACACCTGTGGCTTATATTCACGTGTGGTCTATATATGTACAATTTCAAAATGTAGTTAAAATTTAGTTGATGCAATGATGAATTCAGGTGTGCTCAATAGTCTGGAAAATACGGTAATAAATAGTTGCAAGTTATTTTTAAGCAATCAAAATAACTGTAATTGAAAGAGCCAAAAAAGATGTGTTTAATACTATACTGTGAAACATTAAAGAGGCAAGCAATATTATCTCCACGGAAACAAGCAGGTAGCATACCTGCCCTCAGAAAAGTTATATCATGCTCTGTTAATTGTTTCTATCATAATTTATGATCTGTGCAATGTTCAGAATTTTCCATGATGAGTTGAGAAAAACAGCTTTAGTGTCTCCCTCAAAAAAGTTGCATAGTGCCCCTTTTGTTGTAATCATAATTCTACCTCCTTTTTGTATTGTTTAAAGGTGTATTGTGCAACTTTTCTGGTGGAGGGTCTGCTACCTACTTATTTCCATGGAGATGTTATTGCTTTGCCTGTAATGTTTCATGGTGTGACATTAAATATATCCATCTGGCATTTATCTATTTACAGGTGTTGTGTTGCTCAAAAATACAATAATTCCTTCTGTGAAAAGGGGCGACTCTCCACAGATCTCTCTCGTGATAGACAGGTTTAATCTATACTGTGGAACATTCTAGTCAAAGCACCAACATTTCCATGGAGACAAGCAGAGCAGATTTTTTGCCAACAGCTTGAGTGTCTTCACAGGTCCGTAGAGGGCGTGCAAACTGACTATTGGAGTTTGTGTTTTGCAGACTGCCCTGAGCTCTTGTTATCACGCTTGAATTGGCCGTGACTGTTGTAAGGGACATTCCTGTGCTTTCTTACCCCCGGTGGTCCAGATATGGGCGAGAACTGGCCTAGTTTGCTTTAAAAATACTCCACCAAACCAGGCCAAAGCTCCACCAATTTAAGGTTGTTTTCTTTGCGTTTGTCACGGCTAGTTCAGGTGTATTTAGGTGCTCGTATTTTTAAGTGCATGCTGAAGTTTATGTCATGTTGACCTGACTTCTTGTTGCCGTGCACATTCTGAGCTGTAAGAATCATTGTAATCAAGATCGCAGTTGGAATGGTTGTAAATTAGCGGAGAGGTTTTCTGATCTCTGTCCTAATTTAGTTTCCTCATCATAAACAGAACTTGAGTTGTGTTTTGTTTCATTCACACAAACCTTGAGCTCTTCTCTCAAACTGAAAACACTCTGTTCCACCTTGTGATGTCATGTGGCAATACAGGAAGTGCTCCACTGTGTTTTTAAACTCCATACACCTTCACTTGAGTCATTTGGATGATTTCCGTCGGAATTGCCAATCTCTACTGAATTAAAGGTAAAAGGTAAATGAAAACTACCACTTAATGACATTACATGGTGGTACAGAGCATTTTGAGCTTTGGCGATGTTGACAGACTATTAATAAAGAAACAAAACACAACTCCAGGTCTGTTTTTGATGAGGTAACAACATTGTAGCATTGGTAAAATCTGACATGAGTCCATTTTGTGTAACATAAGACCTTTAACTTGAAAAACTGCTGCTTCATGACATCACAAGGTGGAACAGAGCATTTTGAAGCTTTGGAGAGGTAGGCAGACTAATAATAAAGGGTGATTCAAGCATGTGAATGGAACAAAACACAACTCCAGCTTTATCTTTGAGGATTTAACAACATTCTAACATGGTTTAAATCTCACAAGAGTCAATTTTGTGTAATTTGGTATGAATTATTTCTGTCATAATCCCAAGAATTCAAGTAAAAAACAAATTTCTTCATGATATCAGCACTGAAATGAATCCTGGATATGTCGCTCCCGATGTTCATAAGCTGTTGCTACTACAAAACAAGGCATTCAACATCAAGCAGAGGAACTTGTGATTCGATATATTGTGACAACCCACGATATTATTATGAGACTTTTGACGATACAATATCAAGATATTTCGGTTATTGTTACATCCCTATTATATAGTAATAGTAAGTACTGATAATGGAACACATATAGAGCTAAACAGAACCATTTATGGTTTTAAATGATCTTTATCTAGTCACCTAGATCAGAACAAAACTGATTATTTTGTATTGAACATTTGGATTCTGTTCCCTGTGGTATCAAAACCAGTATTGCCTTTTAGTATTATATGTTTTGTGACACATTTTTGTTTCGAATGTCCTCAGCAAAAACCAAAACATTGCATATTTATGTCAGTTTCACTTTCTCAACTGTATATGATTGCAATTGCAGTATTAAGAAGTATTTTGAAAAGCATAAACCACAACTTTTGACTCAGATCGTCATTTTTTTCATATATTTTTAACACAATAGTAAAATAATACATTCACATTTGTTCATTTGTTCTGACTGGAGTTTTTGTCTCTGCTTTCTAGTTATTATTACAGAGATATAACTATTAAGCCAAAATATTAAACTTCAAGCTCTTCACCAGAATTCTACCACAGAATTCAGAGCCAAGTTTGATCTCAGTTTTAATCAAAGACTTTTAGTAATGCTGAGAACGGAAACTCACTCTGCACAGATGTTTCCTTAGTCACTGTCCCATCGAGGACAGAGTCTGAACTGCACCTTTCAGCATAGCAACATTTCCTTCTCTCTCTCTCTATTTATTTATCTACATAATTAACACATTCACATTCATTTGGTTCATTTTTTTTCTTTCTGTTTGTTGCATGTTTTCTAAAATAACATATTCTTATGCATTATTTATATGATCTGAAAGTTGGTGTTTTGAATCCCGCTCTCGACATGAACACCATTGGTTGAACGCTCACATCCACTGACCCACAGGTTGGCGGTGCGATTCCAGCTGGTAGATCGAGATATGCACATCCAGTAAAAGCTGGGACTGCGTGCGGCATCCATTGACAAAAATTGTCCAACTGCAGTTCTTTGACGTGCCCAATTTTTTTATTTTAATGACACCACAATGTCACATTCCGGGTCAAGCCCTTCTTCAGACATATCAGGCGTTGTGGTGTCATTAAAATAAATAATTTGGGAGCTTCAAAGAACTGCAGTGTGATTCCAGCTCCCACACATACATGCTGTATGTCCGTGTCCTTGGGGCAAGCCCGCAGTTTCTACATACACTGGTGTGTGGATGTGTGTGTGAATGGGTGAGTGGTTCTTGTTGTAAAGTGCTTTGAGAGCCTTGAAAATGGAAAAAGAATTGGTAAACACTGGTTCCATGAATTACTATTGCGAAAACTGCACTATTCATCTAATAAATGTGGTGTCAAATTGATTGAATGGCTGATTTTGACAATTTTAAGTGTTCTATTGTCTTTTTGCTTTCTTTCTTGCAAACACTTTTCTTCAAATGCATTTTTCCAATGTTATGTCATTTTTCTTTCTTTTTTGCATTTGTTTTTCGCTCTCGAAGGGTGGGTTGTCTCAGATGAGGCACTGTTCTGTTGCATGTTGTGTGTCTTGTCAACACTTCAGAATGTAATTATAGAAAGAACTGGCTTTGTTTTTGTATCACATGCTTCACTTCAAATCACACGCATTTGCACCATAATAACTTTATTTATTTATACAGCACGTTTCTCAACACAGTTACAATATGCTGCACATACAGATAAATAAGCAGCCATAAGGCACAGATTAAAACAATACAATACAGAATAAAAATAACTGTGCTACAAATGTCATTCTGTAGAAGTCTGGTTCTAAAGATGCACTATAAAGATGCAACTTTTCTGGTGGAGGGTCCGTCACATGTTTTTTATCATGTTATTGCTTTGTCTGAAATGTTTCACAGTATGACATTAAACCTTTCTAACATCATGGAGACCAAACCAGACCAAGTTACAGGTCAGATCTGTGGAGCGGCGACACCACTCAGTCAGAATGTCAGTTTTTTCTAGTTATTTTTGAGCTATTAAATCACCTGTAGTTGAATAAACGTAAAGTAAAGGTGTTTAATGGCATACTGTGGAACATTCCACATAGAATCAAGCAAGTGATGGGCCCTCCACCAGAAAAGTTACACAATGCACCTTTAACTTAGTTTTAAAAGTACCTACAGAGGCTTAGAGACATACTTGTACATACATTTCCTTTGTTCATTTCGATAACAGACTAATCCTGGGGTCAGATAAAGTGTCTAGACTGTACAAATCCTCTGACTAATCTGCCAGAGCTTAATCTTTAACTACTCACTAACCATCAACAAGTTAATTAAAGGCCATATACTACACAAAATGGACTCTTATGAGCTTTAAGCCAGGTTAGAATGTTGTTACTTCCTCAAAAACAGACCTAGAGTTGGGTTTTGTTTCATTCATGTTTGAGTAATCCTTTATTATTAGTCTATAGTCAAATAATTTCCCTTGTGGATTAATAAAGTTTGTCTAAGTCTATGTCTTTGTGCAGTAGATTGATTATTCCAGAGCTAAAACCATCCGTATGATTGTAGTGAAGTTGTATGGAGTTTAAAAACACAGTGGAGCACTTCCTGTATTACCACTTGACATCACAAGGTGGAGCGGAACATTTGGAGCTTTGGAGATGTACACAGACTAATAATAAAGAGTTGCTCAAACGTGTGAATGAAACAAAACCAAACTCCAGTTATGTTTGCGATAAGGAAAGAACATTATAACATGGCTGCTTTTCTTATGTGAATTTTCTTAACAGTTAAATTAATTCTGACATTTTTTTGCTATGTTCTTTTCTTGTTTCTTTTTGACAGGTATGCTGCAAAATGGAAAAAAGTTTGACTCTTCTCGAGATAGGAACAAACCTTTTCAATTCAGGCTTGGAAAGGCGGAGGTCATTAAGGGCTGGGAAGAAGGAGTAGCACAGGTAATAAATACTGGACACACTTTATTGTAATATCATATCCTATTACTGGGTTTCAGATGATGTCACAGTATTCTATAGATGGGATTCTACAGATTCAGCATTCTACAGACGGAGGCAGCTGAAATTATTACACTGCAAATTTCTCTGATCTGGCCAAGATTTTAAAACTTATATCGGGGTATTCATCTTGTTTTCAGATTTATTATCTACTTCCTAGTCCTGAGACTGCTTCATTCTAGTTTAGAGGTGGTTTATATTAAGATAACTTAAAATGATCTCGCTGCAAAGACAGATAATTTCACTACTTTTTGTCATTTTCTGATAGATTTAAGTGTTTATATCTTAAATTTTGGCTAAGCTGTTTTGCAGTGTAGGGATGGTACAAGATCTCGTGAGACAAAATATCCACAAGATTGTGCACGCAGGAGAAAAATGATCTCATGAGATTTTTTTTCCCCACGTGTTTACATTTGGATTGGACAAAAACGGGGTTAAGTATTGGTGGGTTACACCTCTAATAGTTCCAAAAAGCAGAACTACAATGGAAACTAAAATATTAAAACAAATAAATAAAAAATTGTGAGGCCAAAATTGGAAACTGTACCGTGAAATTGATATATTAGGAATTATGTTAAAATCTCGTCTTGTCACAAAAGAAACAGAAAATGCACACCAAAATTCTTGTAGCGGTGCAAATGCAAGGAGCAGCCAGACAACGGTGAAAAAATGCATAGCACACTCAGTTGGCCGATGTCCAAAAGCTTTTTTATTAACAAAATAACGCTTCGGCAAAAAAAAAAAAGCCTTCATCAGATATTTTTTTGTCTTGGACCATAGCACAGCAAAATCTCCTCTTGTCTCATTTTCGTGGACCCAATCTTGTATCTCGTTTCATGAAAGTTGTGTCTCGTCCCATCCCTAAAAATTCTCATTATTAAATAGCATTTTTATTTAAATTTTTTTGTGACATAGTGAGTCCTTGGGTCTAGTCATTATATAAAAGATCAGGTTCAACATTTGAGAGTTTACTTTTTAGATATTTGTAAAGAAAGGACAATGTAATCAATAAGGAAAACTCTCTCCTGCCCCCCATCTGAGAGTCTGACTGAACAATACCAATTGGTGGTTTTCAGATTCTGGAATGTAATGATGTCATACTCCCAGAAGGAGTGGGGCAGGAGACATATTTCCCTATTAATAATTACATAGTACTTGTACTGCCATGAAATATATAAATAAGGTAAATTCATAAATGTTTAACCTGATCATTTCTATTACTGATTAGACCCAAGAATTCACTGTATTACAACACAAATCTGCATTTTAACTATATTAATTTTAGCTGCCCTCTTCTGTATTAAATAACATGGGACTATAGAATGTTGTGATGTCATCTGAAACCCACCAGTGAATTACTAGGGATGTAACAATAATGAAAATTTTGTGGTATTGTATCGTCAAAAGTCTCACAATAATATCGTTGGCCATCACAATAGATCGAATCACAAGTTTCTTTGCTTAAATTCATTAAATAAACTAAGGGAACTACATAGACCATGATGCTTTGCTCTGTTTCAGTCCAATTTACGCAATGAAATAACTTTATAAAGCTCTTTTAAATCTTAAGTCTTTAGATTACGACAGAACCAAAGGCTTGTCAAGGCATTTTTAAAGGAAAAAGGAGCATATTCACAATTTTGTTAGCCTTTATATTGCAATAAAAAGAAACATATCGTGAACATATTGTACCGAGAAATGTGGATATTGTTACATTCCTATTGATCACATTGTACTTTGCCATGAAATATCCAAAAGGTAAATTCACAAATGTTGAATCTGATCATTTCTATTACTGATTAGACCCAAGAACTCACTGTATTACAACACAAATCTGCATTTAAACATTCTGTATTAAATAAGATTAGACTATAGAATTTTGTAATGTCATCTGAAACGCCCAATACACATTTTCTACTCTTTCTTGTCCTTTGGCAGGGATTACATCAGATGCCCTTCCTGTAACAATCAGCCAAATATCATCCACTTATGTTATGACTTGAGAAAAGTGCAGTAAATTGTAATAAATATAAAATAATAGTGTAAAATGTGATAATGAAAAGATAATGAGTGGACACTAATGTGACCAAACACTACCAGCAATTAGGAGTATTTTGACTTAGTAATGTTACTAGATGCAGGGTTGATGTTTCAAATCCTCGCTTGAGAGCATGCTGTTATTGTACCATTGGGCAAGGCACCACAGAAAGCATACAACTGAACTGCAAGATCAAAAAAATACTATAAAAATACGTTCTTTTCATATATTTTTTGATTGAAATCACATTATGTAACCTTTCAAGTGGAGGGTGTGATATTTACTTGTCTCCATGGAGATGTTACTGCTTGGCTTAGAATGTCTCACAGTATGGCATTCGATATATCTATCTCCATGGAGACAAACAAGCAGGGGACTCCACTAGGCCAGGTTACAGAGCTCCTCGCCGTAAAGACCCGTGTTAATTCAGTGTATTTATAGCGACATAAACACCTGGAACTGAATAAATGCGAGCTATATACGTTAAATAATTAAATCAAAATGCTGTGGAACATTCAAGGCAAAGCAGTAACATCTCCATGGAAACAGGCAGGTCGCGGAAAGGTTACATAATGCGCCTCTAAAACTTTTATAAACGCATTTGTGAGCGAGTTTACTACAGCGTGGATCGGATTTTACTTCATGACGTCTTTTATTGATTCAGTGCAGATGGAAGTTATTATTATTATTAGATCACAAGTGCGTACAAATGATCCATATCTAACATAATAAAGTGGAAAATTGTGTTGAGCGTCCTTATTTGGCTTTCTGTATTTTGCTCTTGCCCAAAATAGCTAAAGAAAACTGCAATTCTATTAAATGGACTGAAGTTTTTTGAGGTGCATTATGTAACTTTTCCACCATCTGCCTGTTTCCATGGAAATGTTGCTGCTTAGCCTAGTTCCACAGCATATGGTATTTAACGTACATATCTCGCATTTATTCAATTACTGGTGTTTATGTCGCTAAAAATACACTGAATCACATGGATTCTTACAACGAGGACGTCTGTAACTTGGCCCAGAGGAGTCGCTTTTCCATGGAGATGGATATGTCTAATGTCATACTGTGGAACATTCTAAGCAAAGCAATAACATCTTCATGGAAACAAGCAGGTGGCAAGTCCAGTTGGTCCAGTTCCAGTAGAATAGAATTTTTATTACAGACATTATGCTCAAAACAAACCAAAACTACTAAATGAAAAAATGTATTGACTGCAGTGGTTGAAAAGTACTCAGTTATGTTGCTTAAGTAAAAGTACAGATACCAAAAGTAAAGTAAAATTAAAAGTATCACATGAAAAAATCAACTTAAGTAAATATATTAAAGTACCTGTTTAAAAATGTACTTAAATAGTAAAAAGTAAAAGTATTTTGCACATTTTGGGGTCTAATAAAGCTTCAAATGTTGTGATTTTGATAAAAATTTGTGCTGAAATCAGTAGCTTTTTATAACTGTTTTTCTTTTTGAACATGTTAAAAATAAACCCTCAGCCTTTTCAGCAAGTCTCAGTCTATAATAAAAAATACTTTTACTTTTCAGTCCTGTTAAAAAAATGTAGTGCAGCAGAAAGTACAGATACCTGCTCTCAAATGCAGTGAAGGAAAAGTAAACCTTTCTATCTTCATGGAGACCAAACCAGGCCAAGTTTCAGGTCAGATCTGTGGAGAGGCGACCCCGATAACCGTCAGAAAGCCTATTTTTATTTGTATTTTTGAGCTATAAAACCACCTGCAGTTGAATAATTGTGAAGTAGAGCTGTTTATTGTCATACTTTGGAACATTCCAGGCAGAGCAATGACATATGAATAGAAACAAGCTTGTGACAGACCCCCAACGAGAAAAGTTACACAATGCATCTTTAAGTACATTGCTTTAATACTTTTCCTTCGTTACGTTCCACCACTAATTGTCTGTATCTCTTCTTGTGTTTCAGATGAGCCTGGGCCAGAGAGCTAAACTCACGTGCACACCAGACATGGCCTATGGAGTTGTAGGTCACCCCGGGGTCATCCCGCCGAACGCCACGCTTATATTTGACGTAGAATTACTTAAACTGGAGTAAAGTAAAGTGATCCTTGAAGTTTTAATAGTCAAGGCCGCATTTGCCACAGGGAGAACACTACCAGCCGTCACCTCCCACAATTTCTGTTATTATCGTCTGATTTCTACTTTTTCAGTTCAGTATTTCAAGTATTTACGTACGCTGCTTTGCTCATGTATGGATACCACGAGAATCTGTCATCCTGCTTTTCCTGACACATCACGCACCATGTTTGTTGTTTTGAGTAAAATGCTTTTTGATTTGTCTCATCTGTAATTTTTTTTGTTAATAAAACCAATTAAACTCATATTTCAACCAACCACACTATGTTGCAATCAAAATACTGCCTTACAGATTAATAAAGTAGAGGAGGGGTGGAGTCTGGCTACAAGTACAATAGCGGATCCTTAATATTCTACCTGGGCATTACCACTGTCTGCATTGCCACTTTGATAAGGTTAGTCCTGCTGAATGCGCTGAATGATGTTGCTATGTTAAGTATATTTTATATCCTCATAACATTTACTGCTAATGTACCCTATTCAAGCCAATAAATAATACTGTACAGAACTCTATGACAGCCATTACAACCTATCGACCAACTCTTGAATAAAATGGCATGTACTGTGTTGAGACAAACTGCTGTTGTCTTTATTGTTATGTAAGGGGCTCTAGGTGGATGGCTGTGGCAGCAGCACTGACGCCTGCTGGACAATTTAATAACTACACGTTTAGGTGAGGGTGTTCTGAGTCGTGAAAGCTTTAAACTGTGGTGTTTTAAGTTCATATAATAGATTAATAATAATAATAATAATAATGTATAGATTTAGACAAACGTTATTGATCCACCAGGGGAATGACTTGGACACAGTAGCTCACACATCAAATTATATTACAATAACAAAGAGTTAAAAAAATAAATAAATAAATAATATATATATATATATATATATATATATATATATATATATATATATATATATATATATATATATATATATATATAATAAATGGTAATAAACTTCTAAATAAGTAGCAATAAAACATAGCAAGTGAGTGGTATCAATAAGATATAAATTATATAAATGTATTATGAGAAATTTGAGAATAATACACCACAACACAGAGGCAATTAGAGCAGGAATTTTCATTATTAATAAAGTAAATCATATTTGAAGTTGTATTTTTGATTTGGAGAAGAAAAAAAAATCGAAAAATCGCCTTTTTAATTTTTTTTATTTTTTTCCTAAAGCAATTAAATATACATCAAATTTATGAATGGCATCGTACTGATAATTATACAAATGTCATAACAAAAACAAGATAAACAACAGAAAAAAAAAAAGTGTATCTTATTTACTTCCGGCGTGCAGTTGAAAGTTCATCCGTGGACGCTGCGCTGTGATTGGATGAAATGCAATGTTATGAAACGTCATTGGCTGAACGTCCACACGCCTTTTGCAAACCCGAAACAGCTCAGCACAAGGTCAGAAAATCCACCTAATATCACACATATCTCTGCACACATTATTGATCACTCTGACGCTATTAAACCCTCGTCATATTATCTCATTGGTTTATATTTTAGTTGAGTTGTTGCACATTCCCTGTTAGCCTGACGTGCTGTATGCGCAGCTGTGTTGTGTTCCTCAAAACCTGTCGCATTAAAATATTCTTTATCAGAATTGTCCCACTGCTAAATTACTGCATAAGTTCTTGCACAAAGGATCGCTTGTGATTCTTAAAATAAGGATCGACTTTGTTCATTTTATGCTTCTGTTACTGGCTAACTCATGTGTCACAACAACAACTAGCATAACAAAGAAATGCGCATCATAAGGACGATCATGGGACTTATTTGACAACATGCTGATGTCAAATTCAGTGTACAAAGAGAAAACATAACCAAGCTCCCATTACACATTAGGATTATGGTCAAGCAGGATTTGTTGTGTTAGGATAAATAACTAGGCTTAGGTGGTGTATAACTACTGCTATGATGTTACTGATCTACTGCTGTAGTCAGTGTTGGGAAGGTGACTTTTAAAAGGTATTCCCCTACAGATTACAGATTACATACACCAAAATGTAGTTCGTAACAGAATCCATTAGATTACTTAAAGTGAGTAATGTAATCTGAATACTTTGGATTACTTGGTTTGCTGTAGAGAAGCAAAGACCAGGATAATTAAAGAAAATAAGATGTTTTATCTGCAAAAAGACAATAAAAAGCCCAGACTTTACTGAACCAAATTAAAAAATATTATTGACAGAAGACGAGGAGACACGGTCCACGCAGCGTGATTTAGTCCTGTTAAATCCTGTTTGAGACATGGTTTAGACCTAGTTTTAGTCCTGGTTTAGTCTTGGTTTAGTCCTGGTTTAGTCCTGGTTTAGACCTGGTTTAGACCTGGTTTTAGTCCTGGTTTTAGTCCTGGTTTTGTCCTGGTTTTGTCCTGGTTTAGTCCTGGTTTAGTCCTGGTTTAGTCCTACTTTAGACCTGGTTTAGACCTGGTTTAGACCTGGGTTAGACCTGGTTTAGACCTGGTTTTAGATCTGGTTTAGACCTAGTTTAGACCTGGTTTAGACCTGGTTTTACTCCTGGTTTAGTCCTTGTTTAGACCTAGTTTAGACCTGGTTTTAGTCCTGTTTTAGTCCTAGTTTAGACCTAGTTTAGATCTGGTTTTAGATCTGGTTTAGACCTGGTTTAGACCTGGTTTAGACCTGGTTTAGTCCTGGTTTAGTCCTAGTTTACACCTAGTTTAGTGTCCAGCAATGAGTGGAATTACCGAAAAAAAAAAAAAAAGTGATGTGAAAAAATGTGAAAACAGGAAAATACCTCTGTGTAATCCATTTATTTCAACAAAGTAACTGTAATCCAATTACCACTCACTGAAACAGTAACTGTAACTGAATACAGTTACTCATAATTTGTACTCTGATTACATAACTCTGGTACATGTAATCTGTTACTCCCCAACACTGGCGATAGTTTATTATTGTACTATTAGAATTCACTATACAATGACCCAGAAAACAGGGACTAGATTACAGATAAGGGATGCAGAGATAGGTTCAGTTCATGTAAAATATATTCTATTTTTATCTATATGTCTAATCAAGTAACTAAATAGGGCAAGGACTTATTGAAAGGGCTATGCTGACTCATGACTCATCACCCTGATCAGACCAGCAAGACTCCTGTAAGGGGAGTGAGATGAATCCAGGGGATCCTTGTCACAATCAGACAAGATTGTGCAACGTGCCAAGAGGCCTGGCTGCACCAACTCTAAACTAAGTCTAAACCATGGTCGCCTCCCACTATGGTTTGCGTATAAAAATCATTGTATAGGCGTAAACATTCAGTCTCTGCATGGGAATGTCAGCACAGACTCCTTGTACAAGTATGACTTTTCCAATGTTGGAATAAGTAAATTATCTGGACTTTATTTCTGTTTCAAGTGTTTTTGCTTTTTTTTGTCTAAGCAGAAACTAATGAACACGCGAGAAAAAGGGTTGTTTTCCTCAACAGTTATATTCTGATATTTCTCCTGGACTGAGACAGTTTTGCATTGAAGGTGTTGAATTTTGTTTTTCAAAGTGCAATAACAAATTTGTGAAATGTTCCTTACTGAAATATTGCTTCCCCATGTCAGAGAGAGATTACATTCTTAAAAGGAATTTTGAAAAGAAAGAAATTAGAACTAAGTATCTTTCCTTTTCAGTTCCCCCTAAAGTGCAGGAGACACAATTTAATTTTTTTTATAAAATTTATCCAACCAATGAATTCCTTGAGCAAAACTTCTAATTTGAGACAAGTAAATGTGTGTTTTGTGACACAGGGGATGGGGACTTGGATCATCTTTTCTTTTTATGTGAGTTTGTGCAACAATTTTGGTTTGATTTTCAATCTTGGCTTCAGTCCAGGGGAATTCAGTTTGCTGCTCTAACCATAAAAGAAAAGAAAAAATTGTGTATTAATAGATGATAAAAGAATGGAATTTGGTATCAATTTATAGATTTTAGGTAAACATTTTATTCACAAATGTCATTTTTTAAAGATTAAACCAAACATAACACACTTGAAGAATGACCTGAAAGTTTTTGCTTACTCATTGGGCCTAATTGAGAGAAGAGGCTGTTTTTTCTTATGTCCTTTTTCAATTATTTTAATGTATTCTTTTAAATTGGAGCTTTGAAACTGCCCCTTTTATATGTGAATATGTTTTTATTCACTTTTGTGTTTTTTATGCATTTATTTTATTTTCACGGGAACTTTAATAAGGTGCAGTTTTTGTTTGTATCTGAATATTTGTAATAAAAGCACTTAAACAGACTTTATTGATCCACAAGGGAAATGACTTGGACACAGTAGCTCACACATCACAATATATTATACAGAGAGTAGAAAAATATAAAAAAAATATATATATAATAAACTTCTTAATAAGTATAAATAAAAATATCAAGAGACTGGTATCAATAAGACATAAATTATATAAATGTATGTAGAGTAAGTTAAAAAAAATAATAATATTGTAATATAAATACAGTATATCACTGGTTTGATAACATTTGTTGAAAATAGTTTTAATCGTTAACCACAAGCAATCCAAAATATTCTTCTTAACAGTTTTGTAATGTAGTCAAAACAAACAATGAACATACTTTGTGACAGTTACATGTTGCATAATGCATGAAATCATAAACAGTAGTGCTGACTTTGTTTGTGTCTCTCATTTTACCCAATAAACCACAAATTGTAATTCATCCTGTTGTTGTTGTGCCCTTAGGCTAGGAACTTTACCCATCTCCATTCATGAGTGTGAATGGGTGCATACTTTCTTGATGTAGGGGGGAGAAATATTTTTCCATAAATGTTTGATTGAATGAATTTATATCATAATGACTTAATTTATATTCTAAATGTATTTGCAATCCAGTCCGATTCCTGTCCTTGGCCTGTTCAAAATGACTGCAATTACTTTATATATCTTTGCTATGTAGTCTTTACTCTAATTCAACTGTATTTTACATTTTATTTCGAACTATATAGTATCTAATTTTCCAGTTTCAGTGGCCACTAGCGAATCCTTGCATATCTTTTATACTTTCTTTTCTGGTTCAAATAAACGTTCTCTTATCTTAAATATTCATGAGTGATGATGAAATTATGATTAAATGGTCACTGTACTGTTAATGAGCCACTATGGAACACACTTCTGGTACTTATATTACTCATATAACTAGAATGACAGTTAGAATTAAACTTGTTTTGATCTAGCTCATACATTAAAGCTGCATTGTGTAACTTTTGTGGTGGAGGATCCATCAAATGCTTTTCTCCATGGGTTATCATTGCTTTGTATGGAATGTTTCACAGTATGACATTAAACCTTTCTATTTTCATGGAGTCCAAACCAGACCAAGTTACAGGTCAGATCTGTGGAGAGGCGATCACGTTCACAGTCAGAATGTCTGTTTTTCTATTTTTGAGCTATGAAACCACTTATACTTTAATAAATGTAAGGTAGAGCTTTTAGATTTTAATGTCATACTGTGGAACATTCCAAGCAGAGCAATAACATATCCATAGAAACCAGCAGGCGACAGACCGCCAACTGAAAAGTTACATAGTGCATCTTTAAGACAAGGCAAAAGGTAAAACAGTTTGTTTGTACAGCGCAATTCATACGGAGTAATGCAGTTCAAATCAAGTGCTTTACACAATCAGAAAGACATTAAAATCACAATACAACAAATGTACATATAAATAATCATCATAAAATTGGCGTTAAAAGAGAAAAGTGCATAATAAAAACCTTTCCTTTGGCCCCACAGTGGAGTGTTTTAAGTCTCATCCTAAGACCCATTTTTATTCTCTGGCTTTTAAACACTTGTGTGGTCCTCTGAGCTTTTTATTTACTTTATTTAAATGTGTATATTATTTTATTGATTTTATTTTTGTATTGTTTTTTTTAATGGGTTTGCTTTTATTGGACTGGTTTAACTGTGCGTGTGACTGAAAGTCCAAATCCACTTTATTTCTATAGCAGTTTTCAAAGTGCTGCACATATGAAGAAGCCTGGAGTACATTAATACATTTCTGTGTCTATTTTTAGCCTCGCTCAGGTGATCCATGCTCGTCTGAAGGCCCACAGTCAGCATGTTGTCCGCACACAGAGCCATGGCCGCCCGCCGTCTCTTCAAAGCCTCTGTCATCACTTCCAGCTCCCCCTGCTCCCTGCTCCACACCAGCCTCAGATGCTCGGATCAGTCCCAGATCCACCCGGAATGGGCCAGCCTGGCGAAAAAGCAGCTCAAAGGGAAGAATCCAGAAGACCTCATATGGCGGACGCCTGAGGGACTAAATATCAAACCTGTGTACACTAAAGCGGACTCGGCTTCCAGTGCAGATGAACTCCCGGGGGTGTTTCCTTACACTAGAGGGCCCTATCCCACCATGTACACATACAGACCCTGGACCATCAGGCAGTACGCAGGCTTCAGCACAGTGGAGGAGAGCAACAGGTTTTATAAGGATAACATCAAAGGTAAGCTACAGTACTACACACAGTAGTTCTGTCAGTATTGAAAATGTCAAACTTGATTGGACAGTGTAATCCCTAATGCGTCCCACAGCAATCCAACGTGCATTCAATTTAAAAACTGTGTCCAGACTATTACTGAAACCTGCATTAAGAAAAAGGCTTAATACTCAATTTATTTTGATGCCACAATTATAATAAAAACACATTATTGTTTAGTAGGGATGTACCGATACTGATACTGGTGTTGAATATTGCCGAATATTGCCCATTCATGAAAATGAGCTGAATCAGATCAAAATATCAGTTGTGCCAATATCTGATTTGGGCCTAAAACTGATGTGATAACTTATTAGACTATTTACTGGTTGTAGTTGGTCCAGAAAGTCACAAAGTTGTTCTATAGTTACTTGAGCGATAAATAACAACAACACATTTTGTCATACAATATTTTTATTCTTAGGAAAGTCTATTTTTGGTCCCTGCACTGGCATCGGTTCATATCAGGTATCGGCAGATACTTAAAGCTATAATATCGATATTGGCATTGGAACTGCAAAAGCCAGATTGCAGTTGGTAGATTAAGAACATTTTATAGGTCCCAGAGGGCCATTCATTTGCAGCATGTCAGAGCAAGTTACACACACAGACACACACACAGACACACACACACGCACACACACACACACACACACACACAAACAGCTGAATCCTGATCGACATAAACATCGTTAGTTGAGTAGTCAGATCCACTGACCCACAGGTTGGCAGTGTGATTCCAGCTCCCACAGATGAATGCTGTTGTTGTGTCCTTGGGTAAGACACTTAACCCACCTGGACCCCAGTGTCTGAGTACACTGGTGTGTGAATGTGTGAGTGGTTGCTTGATGTAAAAAGCTTTGAGAACCTTGAAGGTAGAAAATGTGCTGTATAAAAATGTGACCATTTGCAGTTTTGAGTAGAACTCATCAAGTTGATATGAAAATACAATATATTATAATACAAATAACTTTAGAAAATACTACCATGTGAAGAATCGAGCAACTTAATAGCCAAAGGCACGAAAGAATTACAGGAGCAATTTGTTTTTCATAGCGCTTCATAAAACCAAGGCCCTGAAGGCGTGATAATAAAGTCATGAACCAGAGGATGGACGGGCAGAGCCTGGAGACTGTTTGCTTTACTCAGCACCTGCTCCTCCCTCAAAGAAAACACGTCTGTCAGTTTGACACCTGTGATTGTCGAGCAGGATTAGTTTGAATTTTGAGTAGAGTTGTAATTTCCTAACACTAAATAATATAATACACTTTCATTAAGATGCATTGTGTAACTTTTCCAATGGAGGATCTGTCAAATGTTTTTCTTCATGGAGATGTTATTACTTTGTCTGAAATGTTTCACAGTATGACATTTAACCTTTCTATCTTCATGGAAACCAAACCAGACTAAGTTACAGGTCAGATCTGTGCATAGGCGACCCCACTCACAGTGAGAATACCTGTTTTTTCTAGGTATTTTTGAGCAATAAAACCACCTGTAATTTAATAAATGTAAAGTATAACACTAATTTTAGCATTGATTAGTATTAGTATTGTCAACTCTAACACTCAAATAAATGCTCGGTTTGCTCAGTAAAGTCAGATAGCTGCGTAAACAATCTAGAGTTACTCAGAGCACTAATGTATGTATGAGTTGTTCGCATTTCTAATCCTTGTGTTTGATGTTGGCATTATATCAGAAAACGCACATGTATTTACATTGAAAAACACACAAACAGGGGACATGTGTCAATAAGAATATGCAAAACAAGAGCTTAACGGTATGTTTACTCACTCAGTTAGGGGCTGGCTGCAGTTTTGCATCAGTGATTCTCGAACTTGAGGCTACTGTTTGGTTTCCACAGATTTTCATGGCTCCCCAGAGTTCTCTAAAAAAGTTAAAAGTAGACATCTTGAATTATAATGAAAAGAAGGAATATTAAAATGGCCATGTTATGCTGTTTTCTGATCTATTCTAATGTTGTTTCCTTATCAAAAACATACTTTGAATTGTGTTTTGTTTCATTCACACATGTTTAACAGAACAAATCCAGTATATTTAGAGAGAAAATACTCTGTTCCACCTTGTGATGTTATGTGGTAAGACCAAAAGTGCTCCTCTGTGTTTTTAAACTTCATACACCTTCACTAGAATCAATTTCAGCTCTGGAATTGCCCATCTTTACTGAACAAACGTTATCTGTTAACTAAAATACAGCTTCATGACATCACAAGTTGGAGCAGAGCATTTTGAGCTTTGTAGATATTGTCAGACTAAAATTAAAGGGTTACTCAAACATGTGTAAATGAAACAAAAACTCCAGGTATGTTTTTGATGAGGTCTAATGAAACAGAAAACACACACCAGAGTTCTTGTAAGAGGTGCAAATGCAAGGAACAGCAATTTAAAAGTGAAAAAAATGCATAGCACACTCAGATGGCCGATGTTCAAAAGCTTTTTTTTATGTTTAAATTATGTTTCGGTATACTCTGGTCCAAAGCAAGAAAAACAAGCGCAACCAGAAACAGCAACCTGGTCCCCATGAGGCATCGGTGGAGGCAGTTCATCACCACAGAAGCAGTTTATGAGGAGTCCAGCCCATATTACATGATCGCTATATCCACAATGCAATGTGTGTATCTGTACAGACCCATGAACATTTGTGTGATATTGGTCACACATGAGAATGTCTGTGTTTATTTTTTCGGAGATTTTGAGATAACTCCTGTTGCTGTAGCTCGATCCTTCGTGGAGTTATGACCAAAAACGCATATTTGACCTTGTTTACCTTGACCGTCAAATGACCTTGACCGGTTTGAACCTGTAACATCCAGTGTACCCCGGTTATGTGTGTGCCAACTTGTGTGATGATTGGGTGAATGGTTCAGAAATGGCCAAAATTGCCTATCCTTTATAATGACGTGACCTTTCAATTGACCCGTGTGACCTCAAATGACCTCAGATTGTCACCAGACTTTTTTTGCCAGATGCCGGGCTGAAATTTGGTGACAATCGGTCCATAAATCACAGGATTATCGCGGGTGGACAGACACACAGACACACAGACACACACACACACAGACACACAGGGTGAATACATTACCTGGACCAGGTAATGATCTGATGCAGGCTTTTGCCGAAACATAATTAAAAAAAAAAAGCTTTTGGACATCAGCCATCTGAGTGTGCTATGCATTTTTTTTTACTTTAAAATGTTTTAGATGAGGTAATAACATTAAAATATGGCTAAAAGCTAAAAGAAGAGTCAATTTTGCGCATATAGAACAATAAATATTATCATTTATCATCTACAGTCCCTGACAAAAGTCTTGTCGCTTATCCATTTTGTAGAAACAAAAGCTTATAACCTGACTTTAAATTAATCGATTGGTTTTAGAAATGTCTCATATGAAAGCTAAAACCCTCCCAAATTATGCTCAATATACTAAAATAAATTTGCTTCACTGAAGAAAGATTGATCATTTAATGAACACAGAAAGGTCAGATTTTGGCAAGACAAAAGTTTTGTCGCCTACAGAAAATTGAACAAATAATTTACTTCAAATACAAAAATATGTTGCATAACGTCAGTGAATTAAGTAGTGGTGCTGTGAGATCCATATTTAATATCTTGTATGACTTCCATGAGCTTGAAGGACTGCATCCATGCAGTTCGACAATGATTCATACAATTTGTTGATGAAGTCATCAGGAATAGCAAAGAAAGCGTCTTACATGCCTCCCAGAGTTCATCAAGATTCTTTGGTTTTGCCTTCCATGCTTCCTCTTTCATTCTACCCCAGACATGCTCAATGATGTTCATGTCTGGTGACTGGGCTGGCCAGTCCTGGACCACCTTGATCTTCTTCGCCTTGAGAAACTTTGATGTAGAGATAGAAGTATGCGATGGAGCACCATCCTGCTGCAAAATTTGACCCCTTTTATGGTTGGGAATGTAAGAGGAGCTAATACTTCTTGATATTTTAGGCTATTGATATTGCCTTCCACCCTGCAAATGTCTCGCACACCCCCATACTGGATGGAACCCCAGACCATGATTTTTCCGCCACCAAACTTAACTGTTTTCTGGGTGAATCTTGGATCTATGCGGGCTCCAGTAGGTCTCCTGCAAGATTTGCGGCGGCTGTGATGTAATTCAACCAAGGATTCATCTGAGAAATCCACCTTCTGCCACTTTTCCAGTGTCCATCCTTTTAGCAGGCTGTGGGCCTTGGCAAATGCCACACGGTTTTTTAATTGCCTTTTGTTTAGTGCTGGTTTCTGTGCACTGATTCGACCATGGAGGCCATTTCCAGACAGAATTCTACAAACTGTTGTGGTTGACACAGGGACTTGAGGTGACCAGGCCTGGTGGAGCTCTGCTGCAGTGGAAAAGGGGCTGGCCTTGGATTTTCGAATCAACAAACGGTCCTCCCGAGCAGTTGTCTTGCGGGGTCTGCCGGACCTGGGCTTGTCAAAAACATCTCCAGTCATTTCAGATCTTTTTCTTATTCTTTGTACTTGACGCTGAGACATATTGAAGGTGTCAGCCACTTAATGCTTTGGTCTCAGGGTGGATCTTAGGCATGTTGTGGAGGTCAAGTTGCAGTTGATGTGAAGGTCTGGTGTGCTGGGGTTCTTTTTATACACACCCACTAATTGATTGATCAGTAACTGATCACAGATGAGGCTGTAATCAAGGATTGGGTGCATCATATGACAAGGTGACAAGACTTTTGTCTTGCCAAAATCTGACCTTTCTGTGTTCATTAAATGATCAATTTTTCTTCAGTGAAGCAAATTTATTTTAGTATATTGAGCATAATTTGGGAGGGTTTTAGCTTTCATATGAGACATTTCTAAAACCAATCGATTAATTTAAAGTCAGGTTATAAGCTTTTGTTTCTACAAAATGGATAAGCGACAAGACTTTTGTCAGGGACTGTATATTTACTTCAGCAATATTTCGACATCTTTATTGTGACAGACCTACTTGAGTAATTTCTTACACTGTCACTTTGTACTTCTACTTCTACTTAAGTAATATTATTTCATTTGAAGTAACGTTACTCTTACTTGAGTACAATTTTGAGCTGCTCTACTTCACCTCTGCCAACACTAGATTAAAAAGTTCCATTAGCCACTGAAGGTTCCTACACTTTCTATTGTGAGAAAGAAAAGGTTCAGTCCAGATTGTGACTCTTGTGTTGTGTCTTGTGTTGTCTGCTCAGCTGGACAGCAGGGTCTATCAGTGGCCTTTGACCTCCCCACGCATCGCGGCTACGACTCGGACAACCCCCGCGTCCACGGCGATGTCGGCATGGCGGGCGTCGCCATAGATACGGTGGAGGACATGAAGATGCTTTTCGATGGCATTCCCCTGGAGAGAATGTCTGTTTCAATGACAATGAACGGAGCGGTGATCCCGGTCCTGGCCATGTTTATCGTGACCGGAGAAGAGCAGGGGGTGCCTAAGGCAAAGCTAACGGGCACCATCCAGAATGACATTTTAAAAGAGTTTATGGTCAGAAATACGTACATTTTCCCACCAGAGCCCTCCATGCACGCCATAGCAGACATCTTTGCCTATACATCTAAGGTAATGTAAAAAAAATTAAAGTAAGATATATTTAGCTGATTTGTTATTTCAAGGTGCATTGTGTAACTTTTCTGGTTTCCTTTTTTCTGTGGAGATGTTATTACTTAAGCCAATGATGTTCATTTTGTCTTCTTATCTACTTTAACTTCTTAGGTTCTTTTTAAAGACAATGCAGTAAAGTGTATTTACCTTGTTGACATGTTTCGGCTGCTGCTGCAAGCCATCTTCAGAACTGTCACCGGTGTTGGTGGTGACGTGTCGTATATCAGCTGTTGTTACTTCCTGTAGGCGTGGTCACGCCTCCCGTCGCCCGGTGTTCTCTGGAGGAGGCCGGGCATTTCACATCCGAAAAAAGGAACACCAAAAGGAATGCGAAAAGGAAACGTCAGGGAGACTCACCAGAACACAAAAAGACAAAGTAGAACAGGAAAACCTAAAATCCTCCATATCAGACCACTGTAAAAGGAACAACCACATTATGGATCGGGACGTGGCTCGGGTCATTGGATCGGAAAACAACAAGTTCAAACGCTGGATCAAGGAGGCCATTGAAATCAGGAAACGAGGCACGGACAGCATTAACCGTGATGACGGAGCGTTCCTCCTTTCACACACCTGGGACACCCTCCTCCAGAGAACACCGGGCGACAGGAGGCGTGGTCAGTCTGAGCGACCTGCCAGGTCCATCAGGCTGACCATGCCTACAGGAAGTAACAACAGCTGATATACGACACGTCACCACCAACACCGGTGACAGTTCTGAAGATGGCTTGCAGCAGCAGCCGAAACATGTCAACAAGGTAAATACACTTTACTGCATTGTCTTTAAAAAGAACCTAAGAAGTTAAAGATGTTATTACTTTGTCTGGAATGTTTCACAGTATGATATTAAACATTTCTACCTTCATGGAGACCAAACCAGACCAAGTTACAGGTCAGATCTGTGGAGAGGCGACCCTGCTCACAGTCAGAATACCTGAGCTGTTTAATGTCATACTATGTAACATGCTTTTAAGAGTCTTTTTTGTGGCTAAAAAGTTAGATACTATGGCTGTGGCTACTGTGGTCTTTTTTTTTTATTATTATAAAGTGATAATTTTACTGGGAAAATAGTAGATGCTAAAGGGAACAGTTTTAAACTGTGGCAACAAATACATACACTAACCAATCCCTGCAAAACTGCAAAGATACCAAAATAAAATGTAAAAGTAGGTGATAACATAATCTACTGATGAACAGATTGAAAATTCACTGAATAATTATTTTATTGAATCTGTGGAAGTTCTAGATGAGATCTTTGATCAAACATGCTTAGTGGATGATCACACTATACCCCATACAAATGACATGTTCAAAAATCTAAACACAAAGTAACTGAAATACTCATCAATATGAAAAGTACTTCTTCCAAAGACATTAACAATTTCAATAGTAAGTTTATAAAAAATATATACTTATTTACTGGAACCCATAACACACATTCTCATTCTCATTTCCATTTCCACATTTCCATCTCCACAAACACCTTTCGAGTGTACTGGAAAACAGCAGTCACTGTTCTTGTTTTTAAATGTGGTGACAAAGATGACACCAGTAACTTCAGACAAATAACTATCCTCCCTGTGCTTTCCAAAATTATAGAAAAAATGGTTGCTGATCAACTAACTGTACATCTTGTAAATAATTTGTACATACAACAGTTCGGTTTTAGATCTAAATATTCTACTTAACTGTCATCTAATAGAAAATGTTAAAAAGTCTCTGAACCAAGTTAATGTAGTTGGGGCAGTGTTTGTTGACCTAAAGAAGGCCTTTGAAACGGTCAATCATAGTAATTTAGTGGGAAAGTTACATCAGTTCAGTTTTGCTAAAGCCACTGTTAAATGGTTCTCATCATATATTAAAGAGAGAACTCAGTGTGTTTGGGTAAATGGGGCTACATCCCAACTACTATCCAGTATTTCATTTCCTGACAATGACAGTAAATGAATATGAACTATAATCTATAATGTATAAGTTTGTTTCATTCTTTATTCATGCCTTTTTCTTCTCTACTGTATTCTTCCCAGTTTACAGCGGTTGTTTTGTTTTCCTGTGTATTCCCACAGCATATGCCCAAGTTCAACTCCATATCCATCAGCGGATACCATCTGCAGGAGGCCGGGGCTGACGCCATCTTGGAAGTGGCCTACACCATCGCTAACGGTCTGGAATACTGCCGCACCGGGCTGAAGGCAGGTTTAACCATCGACGAATTCGCTCCCAGGTAAAATACATTATAACGGGTTGCACTTAAGGTGCACTCTGTCTGTAACCTTTTGGATAGGGGTCAGTCACCTGCTTGTAAAATATGGATACTGTATGTCACTGTTTTGCCTGAATGATAAACAGCTCTTCTTTATTTAATTACAGGTGGTTTTATAGCTCAAAAAATACCTTGAAAAACAGACATTCTGACCGTGAACGGGATGTAAGCTTTAGATTTAGTTTCTTAAAATAAGAAAAACACATTTTTGCTTGTAATATAAGTGTAGCAAGATGTATTTTTGTATTTTAAATACAAAAAGTCAAAAAGTCTATTCCACTGGTAGATAGTTGTTAGTGAGGCTGGCGCCACTTAGTGCCTCTGCTCAATTTGATTTCTCTCCACTAGGTCTGACTAGGTCAGGAATCAGAATACACTCGGCGGTTTGCAAGAAGCCTGGAAGTTGTAGACTGCACACTGGCCAATGAGCAAAGAGCTGTGAGACCATGACTTATTTTTTTGTGGAACAGCACAGTAAACAAAGCGGTTGAGATGGATGTAGACGAAGACATATATTCTGTGTTGGCAACGATTCCCGAGATCGAGGATTCAAAGCCTGAACAAAGAGAATGTTTGGTGAATTTTATTAAAGGGAAAGACGTTATTGTCCTTCTTCCTACGGGATTTGGGAAAAGCTTCATATACCAGTTAGTTCCATTAGCGTCACATTACATACATCACGACCAAATAGCAGCAATTGGTTAAATTAAAAGAAGTACCTGCCTACTGTCGAGCAAACGATTCTTAATGCTGCGAGGTCAGACGGTTTAAAAAAAATAAAGTGAAACTAGCTGATGAATCAGGCTAGATCGTTGTACTTGTCAAGTGAAATTTACTCAAATCATGATAAAACATTCTTAATTCAAGTCATCTTAACTTGACTAGATTAAATTTTTTTGCAGTGTATCTTGGTCTCCACGGAGATAGAAAGGTTTAATGCCATACTATGAAACATTACAGACAAAGCAATAACATCTCCACGGAGAAAAGCATTTGACAGACCCTCCACCGGAAAAATTACACAGTGCATCTAAAGTATGCGAATGTTAGCGATGTCTTTTTTTCTTGATATAAAATGTATCCATCTATTTAGAAACAAGCCAATTTTACAAGGCCAAGTTACAGGGCAGATCTGTGGAGCTGTGACCCCACTTACAGTAAAAATGGTTGTTTTTAGCACAATAATTGACATTAACCTCTCCATGGAGAAAAGCAGGTGCAAAAGTTAACAGTGCATCTTTAAATAGATTTAAATACCTACTTCCTCCAACTTCCTTTTCACGTTTTGAAAATTAAAATGGTCTTTCAAGCAGGGGAAGCTATTTACATTTTCATTCTTATCACACAGTACGCTATTTTTTCAGAAACTGTGAACTGCTTTAAATTACATTTGTATAGAGATCTAATTGTAATTGCGCAATGACCATGGTGATTTGATTAATTGCGCAGCCCTACCGTGAAATGAATCTTGAGTTTTAAACATGAATTGATCCTTAAGTTAATAATACTGATATTTTCTCACATTTTTCAGCCCTATCTTCTGATTTATATTACGGAGAGACCCACAGCAGGTGGCCTTTAATCCCACCTAACCACTGCTGTACTCCCGTGTTTTTGTGTGTCTATGTGCGTATGTGTGCGTGTGTGTGCGTTATGGAAGTGCCTCGGGTGTCTCGGATAGCACTACCCTTCCTGAAGTCATTCTTAAGTGTTTTTCCTGTGTCTAAAATAGCTTTTCTTGGGTCTTATCAGGCGGTTCATTAGTCCTAGTGTGAGACCACCACCTTCTCTTTCGCTACTCTGCTCATCTGCCCCCCGCTCTCCCTTCCCTTCATACGTGCTCCGAGCCACTTCCTCCTGACATTCAATTGCACAGATAATAGACCTATATGGACAAGTAATCCCCAGACATGCTGCTAAAACCAATCCGACTGGTCTGCACTTAATGACAGCACAGATTACGCAAGAATCAAGACAGACAAAGATGGACAATAGGATAGGATGTAAGGAGGGGAAGGGCTGAGGACGAGTAGTGGGATTAGGGTTAGGGCCATAGATGGTATATATAAATAGACATACTGTATTTTCCGCACTATAGGGCGCACTTAAAACCCTTAAATTTCATCAAAAAGCGACTGCGCGCCTTATAATCCAGAGCACCTTATATATGAATTTATTGGGGGTGTCTTAGTACGACTTTAGTAAACTACAAAGCCGCACCACTTGCAGCATTATGGCCCCCGTAGTCAGGAGCATTATGGAGTAATACATACTGTGATTCCTTTTAATATCAAAATGCACCTGTCAAGAGACACGCTCACAACACCCACTTTAACACACATTCACCAAGACAGGGAGACAGCGCCGAGCGACTTACCAATAGATCGTGGACGCCTGGGCTAAGGACCAGTATCAACTGTGGTCCGAGCTTTCACCAAGACCAGAATCATCACTGAACTGAACTCCAGGGAATAGTAACCACAGTGACTCGGATAATAACGAGAGGGATGTGGGCGTGCTGTTTGAACAATTATGAGTTATTGTGAATACACCAACAATTTAGCATCTCAGACAGTATTTTTTTATGCGTCACAATTGAAGAAAGTTGGGAGTTATTGTAAACGTGTTAAATAAATTTTGTCTGACTTATCTAACTGTTATGTTTCGTTTAATGTGCCTTATAGTCTGGTGTGGTTTATATGTGAAAAAAGTTCGAAACTAGACCATTCAGTGACAGTGCGCCTTATAATCCAGAGCGCCTAATAGTGCGGAAAATACGGTAGCTATTATTTGTTATTATTTGTTATTTTTTCTGTAAATAAATTGCTATTTCTAATATGGATTCTAAATTTGCCTCTCTAACTGCAAGCTTCATTTGACTAAAGCCCATAGACTGTAGAAAGAAGGTGACTATGGAAGTGTGAAATCACCCATAGCGTCCGGCTCCACTCAAACTAATTTATTTATTTGGTTTATTTAGCAGGGACAGTGTAGCCAGGCTGGTGCCACCTAGTGCCTCCGCTCGATTTCATTTCTCTCCAGCAAGTCAGGAATCAAAATACACTAGACGGTTCGTAAAAACCCTGGAAGGGCAAGTTCGGGCACCAGCCAATCAGCGAAGAGCCAGACATTCTGTGTTGGCAACGATTCCCGAGATCGAGGATTTAAAGCCAGAACAAAGAGAATGTTTGGTGAATTTTATCAAGGGGAAAGACTTTATTGCCCTTCTTCCTACAGGATTTGGGAAAAGCTTAATATACCGGTTAGCCCCTTTAGTGGCGCATTACATACGTCACGATCAAATAACAGTGATTGGTTAAATGATAAAAAGTAGGCGCTTACTGTTGAGCGAACGAATCCTAACACTGCGAGGTCAGACGGTTTCCACGAAGTGAAACTGGCTGATGAATCATGCTAGGGACAGTGTACATTAATCAACATTTCTTTAACTGTACCACAATTGGTTAGAGTTTCTATTTTTCATCTGGAGTCCCTGGACATATGGTAAACATGGTCACCCTAAAAACACAACAATAACAATTATACCAAAAAAAAAAGTGCAAATGTACTGTACATAACAGTTCAATTAAAAGGTGGTGAGAATACAAACACACTAACAACCATAACCACAATGTACACAAGGAGAAATAACACACACATTAGAGCAGGGGTGGGCAAACTACAGCCCGGCCTTTAATCTTTTTAATCCGGCCCTCTGAACTTCAATAATAATAATAATGATAATAATCATTTTCATCCATCCATCCATTTTCTTCCACTTATTCGGGCTGGGTTGCGGGGGCAGTATTAGTAATAATTTTCAGTATTTTAAAAGTCATTTCAATTAATAGTAAATACTGTGGGACTTCAAAGATATTTTGTTGTGATGCTTTGTAATGATTTTCAATTATGGGATATTTTAATAACATGGGGTCTGTTTTCTACGTATCTCATGTTACTTTTTTCTCTTATGAGGTGGATTACCAAAAAGCTCCATCCATTTGCTCCTGGTCAAGCCCTTCCGTCACATTTTAGAACCCTTTGTGGCCCACGAGTCAAAAAGTTTGCCCACCCCTGCGCTAGAGCACACTCTAGTTGGCACACTAACAGTCGCAGGTTTGATGAGTTATTAGCCAGTTCTAAACATGTTTTTTTGAATAGAATGTATGGTATTAGGTCTCTAATGGTTCTAGAGACTGAGCTCCACTCCTGAGAAGCTGTGATGGAAAAGGCACTCTGGCTGAATGCACTTTTCCTCAGGGGAATGATGCAGTCTCCACGGGCCGCCCCTCGAGTGAGTCGCTGTGTTGGTGGTTCTGATCTTTATAAACCAAGACAATGGAGAAGATGACTGGCCATGGATGATTATATAAATGTGATAGAAGTTTGACGCTCACAAAACTAGCAGTTATACGGGCGAATTTGAAGCCGGGCTCCATATTAGAAATAGGATTTTTTAAAACAGACAATATAACGAAATAAAAAGATCAGGATCATGTAGAGCAGATTAATACGAACATTTTAAGACCCAAATAACGAGGCTTACTGTAGGAGTTACAGAGAAAGGGGCGACTATATTCTAATGAAAGTCATTTGTAGTGTCAGTGGGAGCTGGAAGCACCCCCAAGTTCACGAGGCGGCTGGCGGGTTCACTGTGTCCATTAATATATACAGTCTATACTGGAGCCAAACGCTATGGGTGACTTTAACCTCACTTAGTCCATTTCTTTGTACAGTCCTCCTTTCAGTCATTTCCCTCATGGATCCGTCTCTGAATTCTCATCAGTTTCTCTTTGTGTGCATTTCCAGACTGTCATTCTTTTGGGGCATTGGGATGAACTTTTACATGGAGATCGCCAAACTGAGGGCGGCGCGCAGACTCTGGGCTACACTCATCAAGGAGAACTTTAACCCGAAAAACGCCAAGTCCCTCCTCCTTCGCACACACTGCCAGACATCAGGCTGGTCTCTCACTGAGCAGGTAAGTAAAGAGTAGACTGTTAAAATATACAGTAATGTAAGTAAGTTAAAGGTCCTATTACGCAAAATTAGCTCTTGTGAGCTTTAAGCCATGCTATAATGTTGTTCCCTCCTCTAAAACAGACCTGGAGTTGTGTTTTGTTTCATTCACACATGTTTGAGTAACTCTTGTTTATTAGTCTACATCTCCAAATTTAAAAATGCCTCTGTTGCACCTTGTGATGTCATGAAGCTGTAGTTTTCAAGTTAACAGCTCCTTTTACCTTTGGTTTAGTAGAGATTGGCAATTCCAGGGCTGAAATTAACCAAATTATTTTAGTGGAGGTTTAAAAACATAATGGAACACTTCCTGTATTTTCAGTTGGGGTGAAGAACTCATCATATCCATTGTGTTTTGTTTCATTCACACATGTTTAACACACAAATCCTGCATATTTAGGCTGAGTTCTTCTTTCAAACTGAAAAAAACTCCACTTTGTGATGTCATATGGTAACACAGAAAGTGCCGCTATGTTTTTAAACTCCATACATCTTCAATAGAATCATTTGGATAATTTCAGACCTGGAATTGCCTTTCTCAGCAAAACTAAAGAAGGCAACTAAAGGTAGCAGTTAAAGAGCCATTAAACCCCCTCCCGAAGCTTTACTCCGTCTCTAAGCAAAATCTGAAAAATCCTCGAGAGTGGGCGATGTCCGGTGGGTTGGGGGGAGTGGGTATGGGGTAGGCTCCAGAGCGATGATTCACAGCCGACCGACAGCCAAAACAATCACACAACAGAGCAGACATTTGTGCTCAGATCACGCCGTTTCCCTTTTTTCCCTTTTTTCCCCAGACACGGTGGGACATCGCAGTGCCAGGCAGTGCCAGGTAGAGGCGGGGCTTGTTCTCATTTGGAATGAGGCGGCTAGTGTACCGCCCATAGATGCCAGTGGCTGTGATTGTCATGTAATACTCATTGGCGACCGTCAGTCCAACTCAAAAATTCAAATGTTCTGGCTGTAGTTCATCCTAAAGAGGCCGCTACAGACACGACTTTGGCCCAAACGTCAGATTTTTAATGCACTAAAATGCCAAAATAAGGCCAGAGATAGAGATACACTTCTATTTTAGACCCATTTACGCAGAGAATCAGTAGAAAAAAGTTATTTTGATGTTTAGTGGCCCTTTAACTTGAAAATGACTGCTTCATGATATCATTAAGATGGAGCGGAGCATTTTGAGCTGTAGAGATGTAGATGTAGTATGACTGAAACAAAACACAACCCCAGATATCTTTTGAGAAGGTCACAACATTATAAGTTATCTTAAAGGTCACAAGTGTCAATATGATGTAATATAGGAACTTTAACATCATTTTCACCAATTTGTCTGCCACATCTCAAACAAGCCCCTTTAGTCCCTTTCAAATGTGCTGTCATCTGAAGCTTTACAATGTTGCTTTATATTTCCCCCCTCTCTCCCAGGACCCTTATAACAACGTGATCCGCACTGTGATTGAAGCCATGGCCGCGGTCTTCGGGGGCACCCAGTCTCTCCACACCAACTCCTTTGACGAGGCTTTGGGTTTGCCCACGGTGAAGAGTGCCCGCATCGCCAGGAACACTCAGATCATTATACAAGAGGAGTCTGGCATTCCTAAAGTGGCAGATCCCTGGGGTGGCTCGCACATGATGGAGGCTCTGACTAATGATGTCTACTGCACTGCCCTCAAGGTACAATTATGTGGCCGTAACAAGGCCATACTGTAGACACATGGTTTCAAATGTGACTGATTCTTTGCTCATTTGTCAGGCTTTTGATTTGGTTCTATTGCCACAAGACTGTGCACACATGGGAAAAGCAATCTTGCGAGATTTGATCCTCTATCTGTACATTTGGCCTGGGTGGGAAAAGGTTACGCGCCTCGCTCAAGCTCTGGAAGGTTGCATATCTTTAAGCAGCTGTAGTTAAAAAACTCCTTCATACAGAAACTTGTCGCTCACATATTCAGATAGAGAACACTTGAAACTCTGTCTCAGTTTTTATTTCGTAGTGATGGGACTAATATTGACACAGATAATTAGTTAAAATTGGTTAAAAAAGGTTGCGAAATAATGTGATCAAATATACATGCGTTTAATTCACTTGCAGCACAGAACATGCAGCCACACACTACAGGATTTTTCGGACTTAAACGATTTTTTAAACGTGTGACAAAAAGCACACACCACAAACACGAGGAGAATCATATGGGATTTTAAATCTCTGATCACAAAGACCGCAGTGGGATATGACTGCGGACCACAGGCTACACAGTTGTGCACTCGCGTCAGCTGTTCACATTAAAATGACTCACTTTGAGATTCTTAAGTGTTCAAAAGATCAGAGCTCTGCACTTCTAGTTTAGATACAAATCAAAACTGTGTTATTATTATTTGTGAAATGTGGTGCAAAACTTCAGATACATGATTTTTAAAACATAAAATACTGGAGAAGTCCACAAGAAGTAGAGTCACTATCGCTAATCTGCAGCTTCAACTTGATCCATGCGCTGTGTGGATGTAAACCAATACATGTGAGGAACTACTCTTGCATTTTTACTTTTAAAGAACACTTCAAACTGGATACACAGCATGTTTTTTTTTGGACTGGATGTCATTATTTGCGGGGGCAAATTCTATGGATAATGTGGATGAGATGTTGCTGTTTAAATTTACAACTTTAAGAGAGGTGAGGAATACCGTATTTTCCGGGCTATTAGTCGCGCTCTTAAGCCTCTAACCCCATCAAAAAACGACCCACAAGCCAGAGCACCCTATACACAAATCCACTCCTGTGTCCCAGCACGACTTCAGTAAACTACAAAGTCCCACCACCCACAGCGCTCGCAAACACACACGGAGCAGACAGCGACCGCACAGCGAAAAACACCCGCAGCCACACTCATCACTCCACGCCGACGAGGAACGGAACAGAGGAACGAACGGAAAAAGCGAGTGCAATGTGCCACTTCTAAACACAACTGAACAACTGAGTCACTGCGAACACGCCGACAATCCAGCGGTCCCAGACAGCACCCTCCCTACACGCCACAACTGAACAAAGCCCAGAGTCACCGTGAACGCAACAAACAAAGTCCCACTGACCCATCCAACTGTTGTGTTTCGTTTAAAGTCCAGTGCGGTTTATTTGTGAAAAAAGTTCGAAAGTAGACCAAAACAGAGCAGCAGGTCATGAAATCATAAAAATAAAGTAAAAGAACTACACAAAATATAAAAATTAAACCAATTAAAAATAATGTGACTAAAATTGTGAATTGATCCCATTATTGTAAATTATTTCAAACTCTCGCTCTCATGGATCCTATCTCGTGTCTCGTGAAAAGTCTGTCTTGTGAAACGAGTTTAAAATGAAATTAAACTAGTCATAGTATTTACAGTACTTGGAGATCAATTTACAATTACAATCAATTTACAATTTACAATACAATTATGGAGCTGGAAGTAGGAAATACTGTATCCAGAGAAATATAAAATACTGTATAATTTAAGCTTTAGAATTCAAAACCAAATTAGTTGTAATATCTACAGTACTATAACGGATATCAGTACAATATTAAACAAGGAAATACTGTAGACGGATGGTTTGAAATGTGACCAATCCTTGTTATTTTGTCAAGGTTTAGTTGTAGTTCTTTAATTTTACCTCTAAAAATCACAGGGAATTTCTTGTTAGTATTTACAGTACTTACAATACAATTTTGGAGGCTGAAGAAAGCAATTGATATTTGAATTTTCAAGTTTCTTTATTTGTTATTCAAGCATGCGAGAGAAACACATGACAGAACGAAATGTGTTCCTCGAGGCCCAGTGATTAAGAGAGCTGTGACATTGCAGCTGATGTCATAAACAAACCCTGGAGCTGTGACGCTAACTGAAGGTATACTCGGTCTGAAGCTCTTTTACTCAAGTTACACTTTAATCTGAGCTTTATTTTAACACAATCTGACCAGAAAAAAATGATTTAGCTGAAATTACAACAGGTAAAATTACTGCAACACTGACAATCACGAAACTCTGAATTCTCGTTTTGATCACAGTCTCCTGAAAATGTGCTGTGTGAATCTATTTTGTATTTTTTCTTGACACAACACAACTTAAAAATGTGTGCATTGTGTCAACAGGGAAACTGATAAACATTCTGCTAATAGAGATGCATGTAGAACACCCCCAGCGTTACGTCACTGCAAAATATCAGACTGATGATTTGAAACATGGCAAATTCCTGTTAATTCGACCAAGGTTTGAGAATTCTAAATACTATAGTTGTATGATTATAAAAGGACATAAATTTATAATATAATTGTGGAGCTGTAAAAAGGAAATACTCTGGACTGATTATTTAAAAAGATGCTAATCCTTGGTAATTTCACAGGGTTTCGTGAATGAAAACAAATATCTAGCTCTATTTATTAAACTGTAGAAATCAAGGGCGAATCAGTCATAGTATTTGCAGCTCTTGAACATCAGTAGTAAGTCTTTGTTAATTTGGCAGTGTTTTGTGAATTATAATGAGTGTAAACTTTGGAAATCAAAAGAAAATCTGTGGAGTATTTGCACTACTAAAAGTAATAGAACTTTTAAAGAGCCCATATGCTGCTATTTTTTGATTTATGTTTTAATGTAGTTTCTTCATCACAAACAGACCTGGAGTGTTTTGTTTCATTCATACACAAACCCTGCACATTTAGGCTGAGTTCTTCTCTTAAATGGAAAAGACTCTGTTCCACTTTGTGATGTCATGTGGGAATACAGAACTGCTCCACTGTGTTTTTAAACTTGATACATTTTATTTAGAATCATTTGGATGATTTTAGTGCTGGAATTGACGATCTTTATTGAACTAAAGGTAAAAGGAGCGCTGAAAATGTGCGCTTCATGACATCACAAAGTGGAACAGATCATTTTGAGCTTTGGAGATGTAGACAGACTAATAATGCAGGATTACCCACACATGTGTGAATGAAACAAAACACAACTGTGTGTATGTTTCTGAGGAGGTAACAACATTATAGCATGGCTTTAAGCTCACAAGAGTCCATTTTGCATAATTTTAGGATCTTTAGGATCATGTTGTGCACTAAGTCACTTTTCTTTGGAGAGTATGCCACCTGTTTGTCTTCATGGAAATGTTATTGTCTTATCTAGAAGGTTTCACAGTACGAAATTAAACTTATCTTTCTCCATGGAGATGAGCTAGTAGCACCACCAGGCCAAGTTACAGATCAAATCTGTGGTGAGGCAACCTCACTCACTCTAATGATGCATGTTTTAAGTAAATAAAAACACCTGTTATTAAATCAATACTAGATGATACTTTAATACAATACTGTAGAATATTCCAGGCAAACATTTACATTTACATTTACATTTACATTTACATTTACATTTACATAACATTTACATTTACATTTACACACTCCACTAGAAATGAATGACACATTCTGAATAGTAAATAACAGTATACAGGAGAAATACTGTTTGTAAATATGGCTTATATTAACATCGTTATACAATATAGTTTTCTCTCAAACTCTTTGTGACTGGTATAAATTACTTGCCGTAAAGTTGCAGTTACAGCTGTGTATAGCTGTTATAAAACAGGATGCTGCAGCCGCCATGTTTCCCTGTGGACTCGTGCAATGTTATTTGGGGTCAAATATGCCCACAGGGAACTCCCATAAAACTGTTTAACCTTTCTTTTATCAAACCACCAGACTGCTGTGTATTTTTAGACATTTTTACCCCCAAAATATGGCTCAACTTCAACTCTGCATGTGCTATTTATACTGAATCCCAATCCTGTTTCATTGTACGTGCTGGGACCTGTCTAAATTTATAGTGGTTCCTTGAAATATTATATTTTAAAAAATGAGACCTTTTGAAGACAACAAATGAGTGGCCATTTTGTAAAGGTCATAACAGTTGGACTCTGACGCACGGACAAATTTGGAGTTTGATCAAAGTAATGGAAATTTGAACTGCTGCCTGGTAAATAAATTTGAGTTGCCAAAATAATTTTTCAAAGGTGAATTTCATCATCTTTTGCTTTATATTATTTTTTGTTCATTACAAATAAATATTTAAAGTGCCCATATTATGTTATTTCCTGATCTGTTATAATGTTTAACACACAAACGCTACAGATTTAGGTTGAGTTCTTCTCTGCACTCTGTTCTGCCTTGTGGTGACTTGTAATGATAGGAAGTGCTCCACTGTGTTTTTAAACTCCATACACCTTCATTAGAATCATTCGGATAATTTCTGCTCTGGAATTGCCATGTCTACTGAACATAAAGGTACAAGGAGCTGGTAATATGACATCACAAGGAGGAACAGAACATTTTGAGCTTTGGAGAGACAGACTAAAGATAAATGATTATTCAAACGTGTGAATGAAACAAAACACAACTCCAGGTCTGTTTTTGAGGAGGTAACAACCTTATAACATGGTTTAAAGCGCTGAAGAGTTTTGGGTAACTTTGGATCTTTAAGGAAAATGTATAGAAATTTAGGACTGTTGCCATAGCGATTAACAATTGGAAACTTTTCTTGCTTAAAGCTCCACTGTCTCACTTTTCAATGGTGAAGTCATCTTGTGCTTTGTTTTATTTTTCAGTTCATTAAAGACATTGAGGAGATGGGGGGTATGGCCAGAGCCGTGGCAGAGGGCATCCCCAAACTGCGCATCGAGGAGTGTGCCGCCCGCAGACAGGCACGCATAGACTCAGGTAACACAAAACAACACACAGCATTTAAAGGTGCACTATGGAATTTTTTGACCTGCTTGTTTTTGTGGATATGTCATTGTTCTGCCTGGAATGTTCTACAGTATGACATTAAACAACTCTACTTTACATTTATTCAATTAGAGGTGGTTTTATAGCTCAAAAATACCTAGAAAAACAGACATTCTGACTGTGAGCGGGGTCGCCTCTCCACAGATCTGACCTGTAACTTGGTCTGGTTTGTTCTCCATGGTGATAGAAAGGTTTAATACGATTCTGTGAAACATTCCAAGGCAAAGTAATAACATTTCCATGGAGAAAAGCAGGTGGCGGACCCTCCACCAGAAAAGTTACACAGTGCACCTTTAATGTATCTGTCACTATAAAAAAAAAAAAGTCCCTTTACCCAATTCTTTTCATGTATTTGAGCAAAAATTCTTACCTCAGTACAGATTTAGTGTACAAACAGCTCTTGAGGTCATTACATGTCTGCTGCATCTTTAGGAAGTGCGTGTGAGCATGCTAGTTGTTGTCAGTTTTATTGTCACGGTAAAACTGCGCTGGTCTGAGAGTTGTGAAAAGCGCTTATAATAACTTTAAGGAATACTGCAAATTGTTTTAAATGAACAAGTTCTATTTTTCCATGTTTTTAAATTTGGTACAGGGCCTAATATCGATGATTTTTCATTTGTTTAGAGAGTTTTAATAATATATCAATCTTATCTTATAACAGCTAATATGTATATGCTAGTATATGCTAGTGACAGAAAATGGCATTTGAAATAAGAATATTATGAAATCCGTGTGAGGTGTACGTGAATAATCCATGTATCATTTGTTCATTTGTTTTTCAATATGAAACCAAAAATTTTAAAAATGCAAAAAATAAATGTTTGCTTCATTATTTTTCTTCAAAACCAAAATGAAAAACTTCATAACAATTAGTTTTTTCCGTTTTTCGATTTTGTGTTTAAATGAATAATGGAAAATTCTATAACGGCGTTTCCTGTTTACGTGACTTAAACTGTGATGCTGGACTGAACCAGAACTGAACAAGGACTGAACCAAGACTAAACCAAGACTAAACCAAGACTAAACCAAGACTAAACCAAGACTGAACTGTTTTCAATCCCGGTCTGGTCCCAGTCTCAATCCCGGTCTGGTCCTGGTCTGGTCCCAGACCTGGTTCAGACCTGGTTCAGTCCTGGTTCAGTCCTGGTTTAGTCCTGGTTCAGTCCTGGTTTAGTCCTGGTTCAGTCCTGCATCGCAGTTTAAGTCACGAAAACAGGAAACGGACGTTGTTGTTTTTTTTTCCATGATTCAAAAACAAAAACTAAATCCTTATCCTCTTTTTTCATTTTGGTTTTGGAGACAAATAATGAAGAAAATTGTTTTTTTCATTTTCTTATTTTTGGGTTTTATATTGAAAAATGAATGAACAAATGATTGTGAGTAATGAGTGACAGTGTAGAGCTTTGAGAGGCTCTTCGATAAACAATATTAATGGGGACATATTATATAACTTCTACTTTTTTGTTTTACTTACTCCTCCTCTCCACCCACATCCCTATAGTCTCTTGAGTCATACACGGAGGCTTTTAAAATGTCACATAGCCACTTTTAAAAAATAAATATAAGTAAATCAATATTCGCTGCATCCTACCGTGAAATGCCACACGAAAGAGACTGGATCAGCTCTGCACATTTGAACAGGAAGTCAATACCGGTAGTCCTGTTCCTATTATCCAGTCGTTTTAGATCAATATTGTGGTTTACAAGGAACAATGTAAAATTATGATCTGTGTGTGTTATAGCTAAAAGGATATAAAAGCAAAACTGACATATAGGAAATGAACATGGGGGCGCTTCCGGCTCCATTGAGTCCAATTGACTTTACATTGAAAAACTGTCCCCGCTCTCTCTGTAACTGCAGTTGTGAGCCTTGTCATATTTGGTCTTAAAATGTTCATATTAACCCGCTTTACTCGATCCTGGTGTTTTTATTTGGACCTCCGCTCCTACTAATTTGCTCCTGTAACTGCAACAATGAGCTTCATTTGACTGGAGCAGAACACTTTTGGTGACACCACACTTGTTTAGTCCACTTCTTTATACAGTTTATGATCAGAGGTAGAAATGTTGTGCAGTTTTTAAGTTCATATAATTTTTAGACTCATTCAAATGCCAATAACAATACAAGTAATGCATAATTGTTGTTCTTTAAAACTCAAAAAGAAAACTATGCCAAAAATATGTCTACTCTATTTAAAATATCCAATTCAGAGTCTAATCTTTTGTTGTTGTTTCTTGAGTTTCACAATATACTGTATACAATGTTGATAAACCTTAAAGGGCTCATGTTACGTTATTTTCTGATCAATGTTCTAATGTAGTTTTCTCGTTAAAAACAGACCTGGAGTTGTGTTTTGTTTCATTCACACAAACTGTGCGGATTTTGACTGAGTTCTTCTCTCAAACTGAAAACACTCTGTTCCAATTTGTGATGTCATGCGGTAATACAGGAAGTGCTAAACTGTGTTTTTAAACTCCATACATCTTCACTAGAATCATCTGAATCATTTCAGCCCTGGAATTGCTAGAGGTGTAACAGGACACAAAAATCACAGTTAGGTACGTGCCTCGGTTTTGAGGTCACAGTTCGGTTCATTTTTCATACAGTATGGGAACAACCATTTGTTTGTTGTTTATTTGTGTGTTTATTAAACCAACAATTTATTTTAACATTATACAAACGGGAAAATAAAATAAATGCAATGAAATAAATGCAAAAATAAAGTGCTGCTTGGTAATACTAATAAGTTAAATTAAATATTCTCAAATAAGCAACAAATGTATGAAATATTATACAAAATAAAGTCTGTAAAGTAAACACTAAACAAAACTTTTCAAAAAGGTTCCTGCATGAAGTTTTACTCAATCTTCATATTTCTGGCCAGAAAAAACAACTTGTCCGCATTGTCTGCAGTAAGTGCAGATCTGCTGCAATTACAACATCGCCAGCGGCTGAAAATACTCTTTCGCTAGAGACAGGGTATGGGTGGGCAGAGATTCCGTGCCAGTGAAAGGCGAAAGTGAGGACCGTGGTGTAACAACGGTAGTTTTGTGAAGATTCATGTGGTTCAGAAGGACGTACTTAAGGCGGGGGGGCAATTGCGTGAATATTAAAGAGCCGAGCCTCCATGTAGCTGTACATGTAGTGGCAGAATGTAAACATACACAAGTTGCGCAAATTCACTCGCTCTGATCAATGTTCTACTTTTCTCGTCAAAAACAGACCTGGAGTTGTGTACTGTGCAGATTTAGACTGAGTTCTTCTCTCAAACTGAAAAGTGCACATCTGCTGCAGTTACAATGCAAATACTCTTTCGCTAAAGACAGGGTGTGGGTTCGGTGGAGATTCCGTGCCAGCGAAAGGCGAAAGTGAGGACCGGGGCGCAATAGTCAAGTTGGGGGGCAATTCTTTTCAAGACGGCCGCCCTAACTATAAAACTCTGTTGGAGACTTGTGAATATGAAAGAGTCGAGCCTCCATGTAGCTGCATATGTAGTGGCGGAATGTAAACGCACACAAATTGCACAAATTCACTCGTGCACAACCCTGCACCGAACTGAACGTCCTGTACCAAAACCGTTCGGCAAGAAAACATGTACCGTTATACCCCTAGGAATTGCCAATCTCTACTTAACTAAAGGTGAACGGTAACTGTTAACTTGAAAACTACCACTTCACGACATCACAAGTTGGAACAGAACATTCTGAGCTTTACAGATGCAATCAGACTAATGATGCAGAATTACTCAAACACGTGTGATTGAAGTAAAACACAACTCCAGATATCCACAGGCTCGCAACAGTCAACTTTATGTAATATCGGACCTTTAAATATAACTCACACGTTCACATTTACATAATCGCTGCACCTTTGAATCTGCGTTACAGGTGTTACCGTAGTGATAGGCCCAGCTGGCGCCTCCGATTTGTCCGAACATCAAGATTACATCACCACGGGAACACATGCACACACAACATACACTTGAAAAAACATATTTAAATGCTAAAGTGACATGAATTCTTATCTCTGTGTGAACTGGCTGCATTTCCATGTCTTCAAGCTTAACCATTATAGACCACCGATGTTTGCTATAATCTTCTAATGCCATTTCTCATTTATATTCATTGGCTCCCTAGTTGGCCCCGCTGAGTTCTGGCAACACTAGGTCTGGTCAAATCCGATACGCCATGCCGGTTCTGGTATGTTTAGGGTCAAGATATTCTGCCATTTTGTTTATTTCTTGCTTCATGCCTGGAGGGAGACAGTTGTTTCACACGAAGACGGTAGATTTGGCAGTGTAGAAATTGCATTCACCAACAACTGAGTTGCTAGATGTGTCTCTATGTTTTGCGTATAAAGAGAAGTCATTTGCCACCTCGAAAGTTTTCAAATGGGATATTACAATGAATTTTTGATATGATAATAAACAAGTTTTCATAGTGCTCAAATATCCCTTATGCTTCATTCTTCTGTGGATGAAAATGGGATCTTTTTATTGTCACGCTGCCTCAAATACAGAAAATAGATGGTTGAATCTAAATACTCTACTCTCTAAATACAACTTAGAGCGGGTAAATTAGAAGAGAGAACAATTATAACATGAATCAGAATCAGAGTGTATATACAGAAATGAAACACTGCACTCAGGTCCAGGTCAACAACAGAATAAATAATAATAGGAATTAATAGTTTAAAATATATATTATATATATAAATATATAGTCTTTAAAAACAGCCCCCGCCCGCCCCCATTTTCTAAAGTGCTTTCCAAGTCAGTGTTATTTTCCAAGGTGCATTAGTGTCCGGGCTTTCTGACAGAATTGATCTACCTAACGGTATCAGGGTAAAAGCTGTTCTGAAGTCTGGTGGTCCCCTTAGGTGGCACAGGTTGAAACTAAGCAATTTAAAGTAAATTTAGCAATTACACTAA